TGTCACTGTCACTGTCATTGTTATTGTCACTGTCATTCTAATTATCATTGTCATTGTCATTGTCATTGTCATAGTCATTGTCATAGTCACTGTCCTTCTAATTCTCATTGTCATAGTCATTGTCACTGTCACTGTCATTGTCAATGTCATTGTCATTGTCATTGTCATTGTCACTGTCATTGTCAATGTCATTGTCATTGTCATTGTCATAGTCATTGTCATTATTATTAAAAAAGCACATAACATTTCCCCAACCGTCCAGGTTCCACGCGTACAACCAGCTAGGAGCTGACCTCTTGACCTCCAGGTACTCCCTGGGGAGAGCACGGACCTTGTCGTCCCAGCGGGGGAGTGTGACGTCATCAGTGACGGCCGATGGGCGGAGCGACCACACGTCTGTCTGTCCACACCTGGGCAGTCTCACACACTCTGGCTCCGCCCTCACACTCTCTGGCTCCGCCCCCAGCGAGGGGGAGGTGTTCCCTAGCCCCGCCCACAACGAGAGCCTGGCCCAGTACCTGGAGGTGTCTGCAGACGCCCAGCACGAGTCAGGCATGGACAACTCTGGCTTTGTGCCCGACCCAGATACACAACACTTCCCGCCAAATGAACGAGCAGACGAGAGCCAAGCCAGGCCGGAGAGTCCCTGGGATCCCGCCCACAGACACTCCAGCACTCAGCTGTTGGAGGACGACCGGAAGCTCCAGGGGGGCGGAGCCAGACAGAGGGCGGGGTCAACAGACAAGGCACGACCCCTGAGCGACATCCTACGGCCCGGCAAAGTGTCCACCAGAGAGAGACTCCACGAGTTTGGCTTCATCAAGCCAGTCGGACACCGGAAGTACGTGGTCAACCCCAGCCCCGGCAAGTTCTTCCGGCGCACCACGTCCCGGCGAGTGGCGGGAAAAGCCTGGACCAGGCTCCGGAAGTCCTCGGTGGCCAGACGACTCAACATCTCGGGCACCCCGGGCGGGGCGGGTAGTGGCGGGGTGGAGGGTGGGGGGCAGGAGAGGACACTGCTGTTGTCTGAGCCACGCCCCGTCAGGGGGAAGCCACCGCGCGTCCCCCGCTCAGGGGCGTTGTCAGCGTGAAGAAGTAGGTCAGTAGGTCAAAGGAGCGCTGTCAGCCTAGAGAAGTAGGTCAGTAGGTCAAAGGGGCGTTGTCAGTGTGAAGAAGTAGGTCAGTAGGCCAAAGGGGCGCTGTCAGCCTAGAGAAGTAGGTCAAAGGGTGCACCGAATTAGGTCAAACGGGCGCTGTCAGCCTAGAGAAGTAGGTTAAGGGGCGGTGCCAGCCTAGAGAAGTAGGTCAAGGGGCGGTGTCAGCCTAGAGAAGTATGTCAAGGGGCGGTGCCAGCCTAGAGAAGTAGGTCATGGGGCACAGAATTAGGTCAATCGGGTTCTGTAAATCTGAGGAATTAGGTCAAAGGGCGCTGTCAGCCTAGAGAAGTAGGTCACACCTCTGTCTCTGCCCACAGAGCACACCCTCAGTCTCTGTGCCCACAGATCACACCCTCTGTCTCTGCCCACAGAGCACACCCTCAGTCTCTGTGCCCACGTGTACAGATCTAGGCTGATGTTTTCTTACAATCTCTTTCTCTTTCTTACTACCTGTTTGTTATTTTACTAACATACCCCCTCCCCCCGCACACTCTCTCTCTCTCTCTCTCTCTCTCTCTCTCTCTCTCTCTCTCTCTCTCTCTCTCTCTCTCTCTCTCTCTCTCTCTCTCTCTCTCTCTCTC